AGAAACCTGTTTCTTGGGAGGAAAGTGATGACAAACCTTGACAGCATCTTAAAAAGCAGAGACATCACTGTGCCAACAAAAGTCCGAATAGTCAAAGCTATGGTTTTTCCTGTCGTGATGTATGGAAGTGAGAGCTGGACTATAAAGAAAGCTCACTGTCGAAGAATTGATGCCTGTGATTTGTGGTGCTGGAGGAGGCTCTTGAGAGTCCCCTGGACTGCAAGGAGAACAAACCTATCAATTCTAAAGGAAATCAACCCTGAGTGCTCACTGGAAGGACAGATCCTGAAGCTGAGGCTCCAATACTTTGACCATCTCATGAGAAGGGAAGACTCCTTGGAAAAGACCTTGATGTTAGGAAAGTGAGACGGCAAGAGGAGAAGGGGACGACTGAGGATGAGATGGCTGGACAGTGTCTGCGAAGCAACTAACATGAATTTGACACAACTCCGGGAGGCAGTGGAAGATAGGAGGGCCTGGCGTGCTCTGGTCCATGGGGTCACGAAGAGTCGGACACGACTAAACGACTAAACAATGACAACGAGCGTTTTAGATATAGGGAATTTGAGGGAGAGTTGAAGGGTTTCGTGTAGTTTTGGAGTTTGGGCAGGAGAATCGTGGTTGAAGGTGGAAAAAGAATAATGTTTGTTTAAGAGTTAACAACATTGCTTGTTCTGTCAACCCCTGTATCAATAAACAATTTTATATTTGGTTCTTTTAAAAATTATAGATGCCTATAATTCTATCTATAATTAATAATAATTATTGTTGATGAAATCAACTGGTGGCAGCCGAGGGGCACATGACTTTAAAAACCCTTTTGTTTAAAAGTATGTCTAGGAAAAAAAAATTAAAAGCAAAGAAGATGCCTTTTAATATACAATTTATTAAATTAGTCATGTTCTGATGGCTTTTTGCCATAATAGTTAATCTGATTAGAATCCGGGACTTGTCCTGAGAGCCAGATGGCTGCCTAATACCTTTGTTTGGAGTCCTAGTATTAACATATTTGCCATAAACTACTTCTTTTTGGTCTCTTGCTCCATGCTTCCTGAGAGAGTCACAATAATCAGACACTTGCAGGAACACAAGGTCAATACTAGACATTACAGAGGATGAGTGGTTGTCATCCCAAAGAGTAACACTGGCTGCCCCTATAATGTCTGATAACACAAAATATAGGATATGAGTCCATTACACTCCAAGTTTATCTCTCCCAATTGATTTCATTGTTTTTAAATTCAGAAGAAATACAAATATTTCATTTCTACACTAATGCTACCACAATTATCATAATTTCCTACAGCGCAGAAATTAAGAGACGTGAGCTGTTGAGTAATATCACAGAAAGAGAAATAATTTTTCTTTCAATAATTGAGTATTGTTTGAATGTAGGCACAGGAGACTAATTCCGGCACATTAAATATAGGTTTGATCCACAAGGTATGAAACAGTTCCAACTTCTTCAGATTAATCCTGCAATTAATAGTATTTTGAGAAAATATGGCCTACTTTAGGAACCAACAATTATAGCTAAATTACTGAACTGCTACACAGATCTGTCAAGTAAACTCTCTCCTTGGGAAAGTATGTGCAATTTGGAGAGACTGTCAAGGTAACAAGGGGGCTTTTCAAAGGAATGAGTTTTTCTGTGACATTTGACAGTGGATGGGTAATTAGAAGAGGAAGAGAGTGATTGCAACAAACCTGAAGTGTAGCTATTTTAAAATTCATCATCAGTGGCATCTCATCCCAATATAGATTCAAAGAAAAACTAGGATAGATGCTGGTCATGTGGTACATTGGTTACAGATTGTATCTGTATCTTTTTTTTTTGTGCAAAGGGTAAACCATCCTTGTAGATCATCCCATATTATCCTGAACAAATTATAGCATGTACACTACCATTTACAGTTCCTCAGAATTATTTGAAAATTTGGCACATTATAAAGATTTGTAATTGAATGTTAACTTAAATTCAAATAGCTTCATATGGAGCAGCAAGATGTGCCCTATCTTGTTTGGTAGGCTATGAGATATTCTGAGAATGGTGACACTGACATAACTAAGATCTTGAGAAAATTTGATGTTTGAAATGCAGTTCAAAAAGAAGTGCAAGACTGAGATTAATCCTGAGATCCATATTCAGTCAACATATTAAGGATCTGTGGGAACAGCATTGTGCATTGGGGTGCAGTTTATGCATCATCATGAGGAAAGGGAGACCTTATCAAACATCTAGCTAGGATAGCAGGGGATGGACTGGGAATAACTGATGGCTTCTTCTTTCATTGGGCAGGGGCAACACCCCCCCCAGACATTCTAGTTACCCAATTGATAGTAAATGATTTTGAACACAGAACGGTGTCAGCATCATTTAAACTACCAGATTCAGATCACAGCCATTTACAGTATATGCTGTCCAGTCTTACTGGAGAGGTGGAAGTGGCAGTGAACCCTCAATCTGGTTGACATGATAAGAAGAAATAGAACCAATAAAATGAGGGAGGTGGTGTTGGGCTTTGGTGGGCTGGTTATTGCACATCCAGAATTGTCATTCAATGTATCTGTCCTTCCTGGCTGGCTGGCATAACCTGTCAGACTGTTAGCAAGACATGTGACTATGTGATGTATGGCATGGACTCTTGGGGTATTATAGATTCAATAATTTTAAAAGAAGGGGGTTGGGGCTTTGACCCACATCTTGAGGCAACTGGGAGAAGGAGACACAGCCAATGGAAAAGGGAGGAGCCTGCCAACACACCTCTCTGGGTGGAGATCTTACTAAAAGGTTTTTGTGCCATGAGAATGAAGGCTACTGGTACATGCCTAGCTTCAGGGAATTGTAACTTGTGTCTCTGTGGCTCTCCATCTTCCCCTCATCCCACATTTCCCCTTCAGGACATGGACTGGAGTTGTTGTCCATTGGTCAACAGGTGCCTTTGCTAATGTCTGGATATATCATTCATGCTGTACTGAAAACAGTAGTAGCTGTGATTGATAAAATTGTGGCCTGTTTATTCCAGTTA